CTTATGCAGCTACCCTTGTAGCCACAGCACTTAGATTTATATACCGCTTCACAGTGCTTCACAGCCCTCTCTAAGTGGTTTACAGAGTCAGCCTCTTGCCCCCAACAATCTGGGTCCTCGTTTGACCCACCTCACAAGGAGGGAAGGCTGAGTCAACCTTGAGCTGGTCAGAATCAAGAATAGAACTGGTGGCAATCAGCAGAATTAGCCTGAAATGCTACATTCTAACCGCTGGGAGGGAAGGGAGGGATGGAGGGATGGAGGGATAGAGAGATGGAGGGAAGGAAGGAATAGCACTTAGACTTATATACCGCTTCGCAGTATTTACAGACCTCTCTAAGCAGTTTAGAGTCAGCCTATTGCCCCCCCAAACAATCTGGCTCCTCATTTTACCCACCTTGGAAGGATGGAAGGCTGAGTCAACCTTGAGCCGGTCAGAATCAAGAATGGCAATTAACAGAATTAGCCTGAAATACTGCATTCTAAGCACTGGAGGAGGGGGAGGGAGGGATGGAGGAAAGGAAGGAAGGAAGGAAAGAGGGAAGGAAGGAAAGAAGAAAGAAAGGTTGAAAGGAAGTAAGGAAGTAAGGAAGGAATGGCACTTAGACTTATATACCACTTCATAATACTTTTATAGCCCTCTCTAAGTGGTTTGCACAGTCAGCCTCTTGCCCCCAACCATCTGGGTCTCATCTTACTGACCTCAGAAAGATGGAAGGATGAGTCAACCTTGAGCCTGGTGAGATTCAAACTACCAAACTGCAGGCAGCCGGCAGGCAGCAGAAGTAGCCTGCAGTACCGCAGTGTGACCACTGCACCACCGCAGCTCAATATGTTGAACATATTTTTTTTTCCCCTTAAGGAAACAAAATTTCACTGTAGTGGTAGCCCTAGACTTATGACCGGGACTGAGCCCCTAATTGCATTGCTAAGCAAGATAGTTGTTAAGCAACAACTTTTCTTGCCACAGTTGTTAGAGGGATCTCTGCAGTTGTTAAGTTGGCAACACGACGAGGCTCTGGTTTCCCCACTGACTTTGCTTGTCCGAAGGTCACAAAAGAGGATCATATGACCTCGGGACACTGCAACTGTCATGAATGCACACCAGTTGCCAAGCGTCTGAATTTTGATCACATGACCACAGAGAACGCTACAACAATCAGAAGTGTGAAGTCATTTTTCTCAGTGCTGTTTTAACTTCAAAGGGCCATTAAGCAAATGTGTCACTGCCCCTTCACTTAATAACCAAGAAAGAAACCACTCAACTCCATGTTTCAGAATTAAGTGTACTTTTACTGATTATAAATGATGAGAAGTAAAGCAAAGCTGAATCTGAGTAAAAGGGCGCGAAAGCAATAGATATCAATACATGATTCATTTCCCTCCCCTTGGAACCCCAGTCCATAGTCCAATCATAATTCACCCAACTGTCCAGGTGGGAGACATCTTCAAAAATCATCATCAGGNCAGACCCTCCTGTGACCATGCTTACAAAAGATGCCCCAGGCAGCGGAGCTTCTAAACCCAAGCCAAAGCCAGCCAAAGTGAAAGCTGAGCCACCCCCCAAGAAGAGGAAAAAATGGCTCAAGGAAGCAGTATCTTCTTCAGACTCAGATTCCAGCCCTGACCAGCAGAGTGAGGAGGGTGAGTAGAAGGTGGAAGAAATTCTACCCAGGTGGTGGGCATCAGAAACAGAAAGTTTAAAAAGGATACCAAGGACCTCTGTAGTCTTGGGAAGAGAAGAAATGTGGCAGAGCTACTTGATCCAAAGGCAGGCATCACACATTATACCAGTGTTTTTCAATCTTGGCAACTTTAAGATGTGTGGACTTCAGCTCCAGCAGGCTGGATGGGGAATTCTGGAAGATCAAGTCCATACATCTTAAAAGTTGCCAAGGTTGAGAAACACTGCATTACATTGTTATCTGCTTGTTGGTAGTTTGGTATGTTGTATAAACCTAGCCATTGGGGTTTATAACAGATCGTACTGTGGCTCACTGCCATATGTATGAACTAGATTAAGGAGAGTCTGTGATTTTACAAAGGTGGGGAATCTGGAACTCTCCACATGATCCCGATTAGAAATCCCAGCAGTTCTAGCCCACAATAAGAAGAGAAAAGAATCCTGGCAGTTGTGATCCAGCCATTTTTGAAATGCCACTGGTTCTCTGAAAAGCCTTAGGAAAGGATCTTATCATTAAAAGCTCGACTGAGAGAAATTATAGAAAGCTGACAATAGAGAATAGAAAGAAGAAGGCGGGGTGGGGGGTGGGGGGGCGCTTTTAAAGTGTAAGATGAGAAGAAACTCCAGATGAGTCAAGGAGAGAGCAAGACTGGTCTCTCTCTCTCCTTTCCTCTAATATTTGGTTGTACTGTAAGTATAATCAGCAGCCTTCCACGCCCAGAATTCTCCAGCCAGCATACTAGCTGGGGAATTCTGGAAGTTGAAGTCCACACATATTAAAGTTGTCAAAGTTGAGAAACATTGGTATAAACTTACTGTGTTTTGCATTTGTTTGTTAACCTGTATTGAACCTTTTTGAAAAGCAGGGCTATAGCTGTCTTCCATAATAAAATAATGCTCCATTTCCCATTCAGAACATGTGCCCACAGTTCACATTCTCAATACACGAGCCATGAAGGAGATGTACCGCAGTTACGTGGAAATGCTGGTCAGCACTGCCCTTGATCCAGACATGATCCAAGCTCTTGAGGATACAAACGGTGAGCATTTTTGTGTAGAGGTGCTTAGATGGGCTCATAGGCCACTTTGAAAAGCCACTGGCTTTTGTGTCCATGGGCCATTCTTCGGGAACCATGTAGCCCTCCTGTTTGCTCTCTGCTTTTCACTCATATTTGCTTTATTGTGGTTGGCCTTCTGGAGATACAGAAGGTTTTCGTTACCTAGCTATACTTGCTTAGGGAATTCCTGGGGCCAGAACAGACTGAATATATACATTCTTGTTCTATGTTGCCATAGTAAGAACTATAAATATGCTATTAAAAAAAAGTATAGACATCTCCATATTCTTCCTAAGATGCCTGATGTTGCAAAATGCACTATAAATCCCCCAACTTTAATCTCTTGTGACTAGAGAACACCACTGAATGTTTCAGTATACTTCTTTGTAGCAGTCATCTGTATTAGATAAAGATATGAAGGGCTGGTTGGAGGAGAGGTTCTCAAATGTTGCAATCCCACAGCCCTTTAAAATTATCAGTGAAATTCTGCATAAAACTAAATAATAAATAAAACTCTAATTGTTATTGGCAGATATTTTGACAAATGTCAAGACCCATGGGTTTAACCATTGTTCCAAGTGCTCTCTGGATTTTGTTTGTTGCATATGTAAACTTGCTGTAGGCTTCTCCCGGAAAAGCAGATGTGAGCTTTAACAGTGCTTCAGTTTTGCCTGCCTAAGCCCAATGAACTCCCCTCCCCCAAAAAGTGTGACTCCTTTAAATTGTTTTCTTAGGGGATTCACCATTTGAGAACACTTGGAGTAGAGTGGTCCTTAAGCAAGCGCTTATTTGTAACACAGTATTTTGAGAAATCTGGTCTTGCCTAAAAAATCCAGCCTCTTCAAAAAAGAAAAGTGACCTTTGAAACCTTGTTATGTTCCTTTCACTTGCTTGTCTAGAATTCAGTCCACTGCAGCCAGGTTTCCTTAGAGCAGGATGCTGGCTGCCCATGTCCTGCATTGCAGGTTTCCTGTCCCTGCCCATCCTGGATGGTTTTTTTGTGTATGTGTGACCTTTGCCATCTGTTTTGACAATCCTATCCCAGATGAACTTTATCTCCCGCCCATGAGGAAAATTGATGGGATTTTGAACGATCATAAGAAAAAGGTGCTGAAGAGAGTGTCGCTGAATCCATCGCTACAGGTACGGAAAGAGGCCAAGTAGAATATGCTATTCCCCCACAGACTGATTTTGGAAAAGGGTATTTACTCTAAGTGTAGACTTTGCTTTGTTGCCAAGATTTGGTTCAAGTGTTTTCTTCTCATTCACCTTCACAACAGTTGGGGAGCAAGGAGAGGCCCTGAAGACCAAAAGGTTTGTAACACAATCATAGTTTACATAGACTAAGAATGAGAGTGATATTTCGCTTGATCACCACATTGCACAAGGTTTCAGTGACCTTATTCCTATGGCCTCACAAAATCTAAGGCAAAATGCTGAAATTTATCTCATGAGTTTTAGCCATGTCTTTTTTGGGAGGGGGGTATATTTTATGTTTGAAGATCTATGGGTGGTATTTAGAAGCATCTCAAGTGCTACTTTGCTGGCCGCTTGTTTAACATTTTTTACTTACAGTAGTGGCCAAAATTGTGGAAACCTCTTAGGAAAAGTATATTTTCTAAAACTTAGCTAATAACGCCACTTTTTTGGAGTAGTGCCATAAAATTATATATCAAGGGAAAGATAATTTAATCAAGAATGTAATGCAATAACTTTTATGAAGGATTTGCTATTAGAATAGCAGTTATAAAGAAGAAAAGTGAAATGAGATGTACAAAAATTATCACCATAGAAAAAATGAGATATACAAAAATTATCACCATGTCAGTTAATACTTAGTTGGGTAACCTTTAGCATGAATTATGGCCTTACAGCGTCTTCTCATGGAGTGAACCAAGTCTTTTAGTTCTGCAGCTGTTAGAATGTGAAACCAAGATTGAATGATTGCTTCTATTAACTGGGTTTTATTGCTGGGTTGCTTCTGACTAACAAGTTTCTTTAGTCGGCTCCATAGCTTTTCAGTTGGGTTAAGGTCTGGGCTATTCCCAGGCCATTCCAGCAGTGGAATATGATTATCTTGAAACCCCCCCCCCCAAAAAAGTGGTATTAATAGCCATCAAACCTCAAAAATGCACTTTTCCCAAAAGGTTTCCACAATTTTGACCAGTACTGTATATAGTGTAACCCCAGAGATTTTTGCAAAATCTTCACCATAAACAGGAGAGCTTGATTGTTCCTTTTTTCCCCTTCTGTTAGCAATATAATGTGAAAGTCAGCTTTAACTTTGCATGTATCATATTGGGAAGAGGATTTATACAGGTAGTCCTTGTTTAGCAAATGCCTCATTTAGTGACCATTCACAGTTACAACAAAGTAACTTTACAACCAACCATTGCATTTGTGACGTTTGCGAGTCTGTAAAGCAAAGGAAAGCTGAAATAATATAATCAGTCAAGGTTTCACTTAGCAACTGTTCTGCTTAATGGTCAAGTTGCCAGTCCCAATTGTGGTCACTAAACAAGGGCTACCTGTCTGCCTTTTTGGAATGGTCAGACAAGTCAAACGAAAAAGCCATGTTTCTATATTTTAAAATGAGGCATCCTGCTTCCAGCTAATAAAAGCCATTTCCTCCCCATCCTGCTTAAAAACAGTTTGTGAAATAAGAAAAAATAAAATCTTCAAATACAGGGGAAAAACTGAGGTTTCTTTGAAGTCACATTGCCCAGGCTCTAGACATGCAGTTCATGTTGGACCAAGGGTATGGAACTGGTTCTATAGGATCACCTGATTTTCAGGCCTTTGTACTATTGGTGTCTGCTTGAATAACCTGTAGTTCAATTTTTCTAATCAATGAGATCAATGAGTGATGTTCTTGTCTGTTTTAAGGAAAGTAGCAGTCTGGTCCTACTTATATACAGGGCCACCTCCTACATCTAATCTGTTGTCTCTCGAGTCTTTTTTTTTTTAAATAAAATTTTTATTTTCAGACAAACACACAACACATATAACATAAAAGCCTCTTCAATTACANTTTGGTGATGCCAAGAACCGTTACCAACGACTCTATGTTAAATTCTTGGAGAATATCAACAAGAAAGATTATGTCCGTGTCTGTTCCAAGAAACCTTGGCACCGGCCTCTGCAAGCTGTCAGGTAAAGGATTAGGAAGGTGGGTACATGTAAGAGTGTCCAGTTCTAGCCGAGGAACAGTAATACCACTGGGTAATTGCTTACTTATGCAGATTTCATTCTAAAGTGGCTGCTTTTAAATTGTTATTTTCTCCAGAGTTGCCTTGGGACATACATACAGTACATACATGCATTTATTTCATCTCTATATCCCTCCAATTCAAGGTCAAATAGAATTGTCTAGATGACTTCCATACAAGAAACTTTTCTCATTTTTTAAAACTCCCTTTAGCAGTTGCTCTTTGCCTTCTGTTTTTTCATCCTTAGTTACGTCACCTCACAAATGAGAGTGATTGGCTCCTGTCACTGCCCTTTCACTCTTCCCGTTTAAGGGGTGCAGAGCTCCGCCTCTTTTTTTCCTGCTTTTTCTGTTCTAATCATGGAACAGCTTCTAAGGTCAAGGGTGCCTTTACTTCCCTCACTGGCTCTTGCTTTTCTGGCATCCTTTCCCTTGGGTTGCCCATCATTGCCTCTGATTCATCTTGAACTGCAAATTAGCAATAGCAATCGCACTTAGACTTATATGCCACCCCAGCACTCTATGGATGGTTTACATGTCAGCATATTGCCCCCAACAATCTGGGTCCTCATTTTACCAACCTTGGAAGGAAGGAAGGCTGAGACAACCTCGAGCCCCATCAGGATCGAACGCCAGGCTGTGGGCAGTTTGCCTGCAATACTGCATTCTAACCACTGCACCACCAGGGTTTTCTACAAATTAGATTGTAGATTGCCTAAATGTTTGTTGTGCTCACTGGCTGTTGGGATAAAAAGATTCCCTGGGCCTTACTGTTTCACTGATTTTTCCATTATGGTTTTCTTCACACTCAAACTCTCCTGCTGCTGTAAAACTGACCTCTCAAGTCAGCTCCCGCCTTTCACAGCCCAAGGCACATGGTTTTGGCTCTCAGTGCTCTGTTTTTCTGGTACAGGAGACAAAGTCAGCCCAAGGCTTCTACCCCCAAGGTTCCAGTGACACCCAAAGTTGAAAAACCAGAGAAGCTGGAAGTCCCAGAGAGAGTTGAGAAACCCGAAAAGCCTGTTAAGGTTGAGAAGCTCCCCAAGGCTGAAAAAATGAACAAAACAGAGAATCTTCATAAAGTGGAGAAAGGACCTAAGCCAGAAAAGCCCCCCAAGGCAGAGAAGCCCCCCAGAGTGGAAAAAGCAGACCCTCCTGTGACCATGCTTACAAAAGATGCCCCAGGCAGCGGAGCTTCTAAACCCAAGCCAAAGCCAGCCAAAGTGAAAGCTGAGCCACCCCCCAAGAAGAGGAAAAAATGGCTCAAGGAAGCAGTATCTTCTT